GACCCATTGGTCGAAGCACGGAATCATTGATTCAGTTCTTGAATACGAGAGAAACTTCTGACTATCTATAAAATGCAGCGACTTTTCCTCTACAGTCGGTCCGATCCAAAAGCAACAAATTGGTCGCTCTTTTACGCCCATAATAACTTTTTAACTATAACCCCAATTAATTTATACTAAGTTATGCAATTATAGAATAGAACCAGGCGAAAAATACCTATTAATCGGATTTTTAATATAATTTGTGGTTTATTAATAATTAAGGCCTAAAGTATACGGACCCTTTTTATTTTATTGATTTTTCGTTATACAAAATGCGAATATTTCTACTCGCTAAGGTTACATAAGCCCGTACTTTAAGGGAATATTACAATATCTTACCAGCCTTATTATTAATATAATATTAATATTTAAGCCCTATAAGCTTAGAAGAACCTTCCTAAATATCAAATATAGCTTTCTCTAGTACTATATATTATATATATATAGTAGGGCCCTAGTTATATAGAATTCAAGCTAATTTTGGCCAAACTAATTCCATAAACTCTAGCTACCTTCGCTCTCCTGCTTTTATATATTATCCCATTCCTCTATTACCGTTTTAGATATCGTTCTATAGCATCTTTGCTTCTTTATATATCAAGCAGCTTGTTTAATACTCAATCCCTTCCGATATATATCCATCCAGCGGAATATATAATTACAGAACCTTCATATAGTCTCAATCGAACAAGCTTCAAGTACCTCTACCACCTTAGCTTTGGTATCTGGGAAGCTAGTCTTCTTTACTTAATAATATCGAGTTTTGCTATACCCCCAATATATCTCAATTGGGTTGATTTCGCAGTGGAACTTCGGTAAAAATACAGCCTTATACCCTCACTCCGTAATAAGCTCTTTAACTTAAGACTTCTCTTTAAAAAAGTCTTGGTAATTCAATAGAATACAAGCTAAATAACACGTTTGTTTAATAGCGGGAGGATATCTAAGGGATATAGTACATCTAGTACCCTTTAGGTACTTAAATCTTAAGCTAGGGATATTGCAACCTTATTTAATAAAAATCTGTTCTATACCCTTAGGCTCTCTTTCTCTATTCGGATTAAGTTACCAAAGGACTTGAATAGTACCCTATAGCCCCGGAATTATATACTCCGGTAGGAAATATATATCCCTCCTATAGGGCTTAATATTACCCTTTTCAATCTCCTCTAGTACCTTATTTATACTAAAGGTATTTAGTATACCTTTACTATACGAAGTATATATAGAAAACTAATCAAATATTAGAATAGCTATATAGTTTAGGTATTTCTATTTAAATATATTAAGTATCCTAGTAATCTGAACTAGTAGCTGTTTTATATCCTATTAGGGGTCTCTATTTAAGCCTGGATATATAATTTAACGGGTATTCAAATCGGGGTTATTTGAGATAAAGATGCCTTTATTATTTAGTATCCTAATATATCCCTTAGGGCCTACAAACTCAGAATTATAAATTAGCCTTCCTTTACTCTTTCCGGGCATTTTTTGCTAATTATCTACTAGCTAGAGGCTCTTTTTATAATTGAAACTATAGAAATACCTCTTATTATAGAAGTATATTATATATACCTGACCTCTAATTAGAAGTATAGGTTGAATTATATACTACATACTAGCTTTATTCTTCTTATATTAAACTATATATAATAAAAGCTCGTTTATTAGTAGTAAAAACACCTCTTAATAATACTGAATTATATTAGATCATTTATATCCATTCATATAAAGTCCTTTCTTAGTCTTATAGCAATAAAAACCGAGCCTAGAAAGCTATAAGTAAGCTATACTACAAGTAATAGGCTTGTCAATTATTAATAATAATTAAGGTAAAATCTTTTAATTAATAGTATTCAGGAAATCGTTTAGTAATATTATTCTAAGCTCTTAATTAATTAATTAAGTTCGATAGGCTAAGAATATATCCTTATTATCTAGATAAGACGCTCTATTTCTTTTACTACCCTTAGCCTCTTACGGAATACTATACTACTATTAATAGTAATTAAATAACCCCCTAATTCGCCGAGTAAGCGTCTTTCTATTATTAAAACAATAATTACTAGCGGCTACTAAGAGAGATATATTAATTCTTTCTAGCTAATATTGCTCTGGCTTTATAAGCTATTAGATATATTACCGGAATAAGTATAAGTTAGTAATTATACGGGAGGTATAGGAGTCTTTTATTTATACTAGCTTTATATCTATATTATTAAGGATTTCCTAATAAGTTATTTGTATATCTAGAGCTTTATTATATCTATAAGCATCTCTAATAAGGGTATCCAGAAATAGTTCGTTTGCTCTATTATTTTTATCTTTAAGCCTTTACTCTTCTCTTAATTATATATCCCTAGGAATATTAATTGGCCCTCTAATAATATCGAATTATAGCCTCTTTTATTTAAAAGATAGTATAATTATAGGGGTTTTAAGCCTACTAGATTATACTATAGCTTGAGTATCTTTTGCCCTCTAGTTATATATATATATTTATTAAGTTCTTAATAGCTTTACTAATTCCTTTATTAATTTGAAGTAATACAAGCCTCTGGAAGCTAGAAATATTCTTAGTATACTTATATTATAATATAAAAATAAGTAAATAAGTAAGAAACTTACTAGTTTATTCTATAAGTCTCTGATCTCGCTATATAACTATAGGCTTCTCTAAAATAATCGTCTTATTTCTACTAATAAGAAGCTTCCGCTGAACCCAAAAGAGGGTCGAATCTTCAAGCTCTTTATTACTTGGTTCAATATCTGAATTATCAGAATTATCCTCTATATTAGAGGATTTCCTATACCGTTTGTTAATAGTTGCTTGGATTGCAGCTTCTTCAGCTATAGTGAGAACTGTAATTAAATCAAGAGTTAAATCAGCTCGCTTGCGTTTCTGAAAGTTTATAGAGGTAGCCATTAGAAGTATTCAAGAGGGGTACTTAATTATATTTGTAGTTATTGAGATATTAATATAATTGTAGAAGAGCGGTCAATAGAGGGGGGCAGTTACGTAACAACAAAGTAAAAAAATGACTATATAAAACGCAAATATATTTGCTCGCTTAATTATATATATTATAACTCCCTTAATAATAAAGATATTATAATTTCGAGAGTATAGAATTAATCCCTAGAGTATATAGTATCGTTTTAATTAATACGATTTATATCAACTAGTATTATAGTGATTTTTATTTTTATTTGTTGCTTTTGGACCGGACCGACTGTACTTCACAATATCTCTCTATCTTCAACTCAACATTATTTGCCAAAGCACACCCTACCTTGGGATCAACACTATCAACAAGCAATAGAAAAGCTTCAACACTACTAAAAAGTACAAGAAACAAGACCAACCACCAGCACCCATCCACCCCACCATATGCAGCCAAATCCTCTATTCTTGCAGCAGATGCCGCGCGGTCACCCGTTCCGAATGGGAGACCACCTGCCCGGGCGGTGGTGGCTATAAACGTGGAGTACGCTGTCCTTTCTACAGTAGCAGTCACGTCCTCGACCCAAATGCTCGTGACCACTGCAGCAAGTGTATCAATGTTGATGTGCCACTGAAAGGGGAGAGCGCATAGAGGGGATGGAGTCGGCGAGGGAGGCAAAGGGGACTAGGAAGGATGCATTAAGCCTGAGACATGTTAGGTAGAGGAATGCATATACGCATAACTATACGATAGCAACCATAGTTTATGACAGAAGCCTTGGTTGTTGTTTAACGCGGCTTGCAGTAATTCAAAACAACAAAGAGACCCGGACCATACGCAGAGAACTTAAGGGATGCCTTAACTGCTTCAAGCTTTTTCAAATTCCACTATTGGCGCTGCCAAACAAATCGAACGGTTATTCAAGAGGATGGTGAATGTACCCAATTCAAACTAACACAATAACCTTAACCAGAGAGCGCTATCTTGAAGAGTCAACTGACTCATACATCCATATGATATTGCTGTGAGGGGGTTTACCGAACTACTACAATTTCGCTTCAGATGCTCTCACAGTTGTGTATACATTAAAGCCTCCAAAGATGGTAGAGTGCAAGGGAACCTCACCCTGTGGTACCCAGGTAATCGAGGCTTCGAGCTTGTTCCCTAATGAAACAATGGCTCGTAAGGTAACAAACCACATGTGGGGGTTTCTAGATTCCTAACCCTCTCATATCTCGCTATCTAACCGGGGCCTCTTAAAGGGGGGTAGAGTCTTTCTATTATTACTTCGTAACAAAGTGAAAGATTACAAGGAAAACAAAAAATTGTTCGGTTTCTTGGAAGTCGTTATAATACTATATAAGGCCTTATAATTAAACCCCCTGAACAGCTGTCTTATTGCCTAATGGAAAATTAGCTACGTTTTATAGCACTTGCGTTCGCAGTTATGGGTATATCTTCTCTATTTCAAGCTATTTACTTATTGGTATAAGGAACATTATAATCAAAAGTTCGAGGAATTAAAATCATCAGCCATAGCCCCACTCAATAAAGGAACCCCATATAGCAAAAGATTACCTGGGAGCGAGGCTTTGGCCCTAGTTATATGGGAAAGCATAACAAAAGTGCTGTCCAATAGAAGGCGAATTTTTGGTTCCTGATATTAGAAGTGAATTCCGACTCGCCTCCGAACAACGAATTTGGAGTCTCGAATAACTTCACGAAGTCCCAGAGAAATGAATCACGACGACATCTGATTTTGGAATTTTCAGTGTTCTATTATAACTACATACAATCAATGGTTCTCGAAAAGCCGGAAAGGTATCTACTAGCATACAACGCATTGCTTTTGATTTGGGGTATATCCTCCCCTCCTGCCATATTAGGAGGGAGGGAACGAAAATCATCATGAGACAAAGAAAAATCATCGATCATCAACGCTAAAACTCCACCGCTATGCCACTCAAACATTTTAATTGTACCTAACGGCTCCCATCCAAGCATTGCCCCGTTTTACTTCTTCTTCCCCTTCTTGCCACCAGCCTGGCCGGGAATGTCACCGAGGATATCGTCGAACGTCATGCCGGTATTCGTAGTTGCGCTCGCCGGTCTGCTGTCCATTCCACCTCCGCTGGGTATGCTCGAATTACGTCGTCCACCAGGACCAATCATCGGGCTACCACCTCGGCTTGTTGGTCTCGACCCACCTGAACTCGTGTACAAATCTTCGCCAAAATCCCTGTCACACTTCTCGAGGCCCAATGCGATACTCTGTCTCTTGCTCTGGCGATGATGGCGACTGTTGGTACGGCTTCGGGGTTGAGGGGTCGGGCTGGATGACTCCGAATGTTGACCGATGACGGGGCTTCTATTGAGAGGACGAGAACTTGCCCGTATTGCCATTCCATCTCCACTGAAGCTGCCAAAGACAGGAGGCGGGGAAAGCGGAGACAAGGGAGGTCCGGATGTCTGGGTTTGCGGGGTCTCGGTATCTGATCCAACCCACATCTCGGCCAATTGCCAGCAGTGGGATCGCCGAAATATTGCTTCGACACCATGGTTGACCATATCGTCAGGTAAAAGAGAGTATCCACCGGTACCTTTGACTTCGTACAGGCTCATCTGAACACCGCGAGCAGCTTCATCAATCCAAGGGCTGGGGCCCAAAGGAGGCTTACACAGGAAGTATTCGACGTGCTTGGTGAAGTGAAGACCAGGTGCATCAACAATGAGGAGCGGCAGAGACTGAAGAACGGCGTAGAGGAAGATCCAGTACCCAATTCGCTGCTCAGCAAGTTCTTGAACGTTCTTGCCTTGCGACTCCTTCGTCTCAAACTCCTGGAACATATCCATAAACTTCTTACCAACTTCCGCGTCCAGGTTGTGGGACTTGGTCAAGATGAGGGTAGCTTCGTGGGACTTCAGCTTTCGATTGTCAGCCTTGACTTGATCAGTTGGAGAGAGCTGTACATAGTTCGGTTCGATTGATGCAATCGTGGGAATGAGAGGGACGTCGAAGGGGATCGGTGGCTGAACTGGTGGAGTTGAAGCGTCAAACTCAGCGAGGAGCTTCCGAAGGACAGCTACAGAAGCAGAACCATTCGTTGCACCGAGATCCAAGGACGTACTGGAAGCTCTGGTTGTGAGGGACTTTCGATCGACCAAGTAATCGTAAAGACTCGCGAAATCGTCGTACAGACACTTCAAAACCAGTCTATTCAGACCACTCTCATTGAAGTCGTTCTTCTTGCTCTTGGCTTTCGGTGGCCACTGCCCATGTAAATCAACGTAGTAGGATCGAACGACCTTGCGGAGCTTCTCATAATCGGACTTGCAGTTCTTGAAATTGATCGCCTTGGATTCCTCAAGCGAGGTGGAAGATGCGATGCCTGCGAACAATGACGGGAATTCAAAATTCTCGAGGCGTAGATTAACCGTCTGGAGGCGAGCCTTAAGCTGTCGTGAGGCATTGTCGAGCCGAGTTCGGGTAACGGTGGAAAGTTGGTTGAAGAGGGGGGACTTGATCTCTTGGATCGCGTTCCATTTTCCAGCGGCATGAGTGAAAGCTTCATTATACAACTCAGCGCACTTCATTGCTTCTCCCAAGATAAGCCCCTCGAGGGTTGCTTCTCTGCTGTTTCTGACATCTGCCAACTGCTGTTCCTCCAAGTAGAAGAGAAAGCTGTTTTGAGCACATTCTCCATAAGATGTTCCATCGAAATTGGTATACTCGAACTTCTTGAGCATTGCCGCAATCGAGCAGAAGATGTGGAATTGGGACGGGTATGTGCGAGTTGCCACAAGAGGTTGACCGGTGAAGAACGCGAACAGATTGCGAACATCGATCGTACTTTGAATATCACCTTGCCGCGGGCTGCGTTGTTGGCTTCGTGTCATCTCGTGCATGGGGAAGTAGAGGTGCTTTTCGCCAGAACCCAAGTCACCGAATGACTTGATCGATCCGACTGAGCTATCATAGATCGACCGTCCTTCCGAAAATGAGGTAGTGGGTGTGTATGGCGGGCTAGCGACGCTTTGAACAGCGAGATTACGCGTAGCTTCCTCCAAGGACTTTGCGGACATACTCTCTCTACCATTGAAACCATTGCCCTGTGCCTCGCCATGTACATTATCGCCGACAAGGACCTCCATCAACTGCCTCGAACTCAGGATAACGAGCGAATGAACTTTGAAGGACGGACCGCGCTCTTGACCTCGAGAGGACAGATATACGTAAGTGTCTGCCGACTCGTCCCAGAGTTCGGGCACCTGGAGCGCGCGTTAGCATGCGGGGAAAGGAAGGCAGTCAGCAAACTCACTCTCTCGCCGCTCAGCAACCCGTTGATGTTATAGTCGATCTTGTGTTGTCCGGCGTTGATCCAAGCTGAAAACAAGTTCTCGCGCTCCTCCTGAGACGCTGTTTTGGATCGAGATTTTCCTCCGGGCATCCAGCTCTTGCGTCGCAACTTTGAGATCGCCGTATGGCCACCCTCGCCCTCAGAATGATATGATACTGGACTGCTACTCGCAGGACCAGAGACGACACGACCGTGGACGTTTTCGGATTGAACGACTTGTGGTGACAACAGCATGCCGTTCGTTGTTGGTAGGGCTGTTTCGGCAGCACGTAAGAACTCGTCTTCAGAAAGAGGCCGACCGTTGGGCTTCTGGAGTCGATTCGGAGGAGCAGCGACAGGCATGTTCGAAGATTCGGAGGTCAGATTAGGTACTGCTGGCGGAAGTCGCGCTGGAGCGTTCGTGGGAGGTGCTTCGAATTGCGCCGGGAGCTGTTTCCGTGGAACAGCCTTTCGTAGAACATCTTTTTGCAGCTTAGATTGGGTGCTGATGGAGGGAAGAAAGGAAGAGAGTCGACGGAGACGCGATGGTCTTGAAGGGGTGGAATCGGAGAGCATGTTGGCTTGTTGAAGGACTTCCTCTTTGTGCTCCTCTTCCCGTGTACCTTCCTCGACCTCGCTGACTGTTGAGAGAGACCGTTGTGGATTGAAGAAGGAGGAGACCTTGCGTCTGAGTGACTTACGTTGCTCCATATTTGTAAGAGCTCTTCTATACCTCAGATCTTATAGATCGCCGTGTTGCGTGTGATGGTGGAGTTGGAAGGTGGAGTTGGAGGAGGGAGGGCGCGTTTGCAAGTTACGTGGCAGCGGCGTCGCTGACCCCTCCAGTGTTTGATCTAAAGGTGAAGGGGAAAGGAACCAGATATAAGAGCAGGCCAGTGCCGTGCGACACTCTCGGGCAGGAGTGGACAGATTGCGTTGAGAGCAAAGAAAGGTCGGGAGAAAGTGTCGGGGTAATGGGACTTTCGAGTGAGGGGGGTGTGCCAAACGAGTGTGGTGACTGCGATAACCGTACCCCGCGGAGTGCCTGGAGGAATGACTGCGAGCTGTACGATCAGAGCCAGAGGTAACGACTGGAAGAAGATGCAGACAGAAGGTTGCGGACGTGGACGTTGAGGTTTACGACCTTCGAGGGGGAGGGGAGGCAGCTTGTTTGCTAGGAATGTTGGCACCTGCAAGGATAGGACGTTTGCTATTCTGGTCCGCGGATGCTGTTAATGGCTCTTCCATGGGGTCTAGTGCAGGAACAAAGAGATTCGAACAGTTTCACAGACAGTCAAGAGGCTGCAGTCAATCACAGAGGGATGCTCCTTGGATACGGAGCTGTCACTTGTTTGCCTGACGTCGTCCTGTGGCTGAGACAGGGGTGCAATACCACACACAGTACGAAGTACGCACGTTGGATGCGACTTGTCTGAGGGATTAACTGCTCGTTGCTTTGGCTGGCCTTTACAGCGTTCTAGTCGTAGTTTTCTAGCGCAATTGGCTCTATTCTGTTCTATTCTCGTTCTATTCTCGCTCTATTCTCGTTCTCAATTGCAGAGACTGTGACTGTGGGGTAACAGCGCACCACAGTCTTCGACCATGGCGTTCCCTGGTAACTGGAAACGTCATGGGCGTATCCACAGCGGCCCAGGGCCCTGCATACTTGTACTCATAGTAGTGCCCCCCACTGGCTGGGTATTACGCGGTGTCAGGACTCAGAACCCTCTCTGGCGCTCTGGTCGCCTGAAGCAGAACGCTATTGGTGGTCTTGGGGCGATCGACAGACCCGTGTGGAACACGCCACTCGGGCGGCACTGGGGATCGGATCATGCCGGCACCATGCAGTGGCATGAAGTGGCATGCACTGCCACGCATCCACATCCACGAATCCACGAGTGCCACCACCACACCACCACACCACCACACCACCACCACTCCACCAGAACTTTCCCGCTCTCTCGCTCTAAATATCTCCTTTTCTCTTTCCCTCCTCCTTGCATTCCCCCTGGCCATCGGCCCTTTGCTAACTCCGAGCACCCACTCTGATGGGTTGTTTGCGCAAAGTTTCATCCGAGCATGGCCTCCATGCACAGGGCCTATTTTTAGCAGTGCTTGGCCAAGTACGGGGAAAGGGGCTTTTAATGGACCCGCCCAGCTCAGACATCTTCCATCTCCACCCACGGGCCACGGTCAAAAGTTCGGAGTTGGAGAGTCTCTTCATAGTACCAACTTTGGCACCCAGAGTCTCATGAATAATACACGTATGCTGACCCAGGGCCCAGTCATCCGATTCTGAGCCCCAGATCTAGACCGGCTCGAGCCTAGCTTCCAAACTACTCCGTGTTCTTCTCCGGACATCAACCCGGAAGCACTCCCTCCCATTGGGCCGTTATGGCTCAACTTCCGCACAGTCAGCCAGTCGCACGGCTTATCGCTCTGTTTGAAGCTTTCTGATGCCAGGTACTGCAGCCAGAGAACGCATATTTCTCCAAGTCGATTGGTTTGAAGGAAAAGCGTGCATGCTGACTGCCGGAGCTAGAGCAGGCTTACCGGCAAAATGCCGCATCGTCACATTGTACAGTTACATTTGTGTGAATGCGGATGCAATGGGTTGCTTCTTCCTTTTATTTCTGTCTCCCCACATTTTGAATGTGTGCTATTCGAATCATCTCGACTCTGCTTGCGAAGTTTGATCATTATCTCGAGCCTTAGGAAATAATGGGTTGCTTCTCAAAGTTTGAGAAGAAAGTATGTCCAACTGACGAAGACTCGGCTGCGGCAGAAACTGCAGCACCCCTCGGAACGGGAAAACGCGAGCCTGGAGATGAAGGTGGTATTGAAACTACACGTCACGGGAATGAGCCCCACGTGACTCCAGAAATGGAAAAGAGGCTTCTGAGAAAGTTGGACAGGAGACTGATTCCTCATATCATGTTTCTATGTATGCGTACCCTTTCTCTTATGGAAACTTCCTCGCTAACTTCTTCAGACATGCTCTCATATTTGGACCGCTCCAATATTGGGTAAGGTCTCTCACCATCCCGCCCTTTCTTGAACCAACTCTTTCCCAGCAACGCCAAAATCGCAGGCATGCAGAAACAACTCCATCTCTCCTCCCCAGACTACCAATGGCTCCTTACCATTTTCTACATCGCCTACATCTTCTTCGAGTGGCTCATTCTGATGTGGAAAGTCGTCCCACCACATATCTGGTCCGCAATCTGCGTCACGGGTTTCGGCATCGTCGCAACCCTTCAATCAGCAACCTACTCCTTCACCGGCATGATGATCGCCCGTTTCTTCCTGGGGATGTTCGAAGCTGGATTCGGTCCTGCCTTCCCCCTTTACCTCTCCTACTTCTACCTCCGCCATGAAATCGGCCTCAGACTTGGATTCATCATCTCGGCTGCACCGCTCGCTACTTGTTTCGCGGGTGCTCTAGCTTATGGCATAACAAGCGGCGATGGATCAAAGATTGCGAACTGGAGACTCCTCTTCCTCGTCGAAGGGTTCCCCTCAATTGTTGCCGGAGTCATAACCTTCTTCACCCTCCCCGACAGCCCCAGTGCAGCCACATTCCTCAACCATGAAGACCAGCTGGTAGCTCGCGCTCGAGGAATCCGGCAAGTAGGCTCTCAATCAGATCACCGCATCGGCGAAATCATATGGGCAGACGTCCTCGCCGCTCTTCTTGACCTCAAGAACTACTTCACTGCACTAATGTACTTCTCATGCAACGTCTCCTTCTCCTCCCTCCCGGTCTTCCTCCCCACCATCCTAACAGAAATGGGCTTCTCCCCAATCCACTCCCAGGGCCTCTCCGCACCCCCCTACTTTCTCGCCTTCGTCGTCGTCATAGCATCAACCTACATCGCCGACCGCACACAGCAGCGCGCCCTCGTCATCTTCGCCCTTTCTCTCATCGGCGCTGTCGGGTACATCCTCCTCGCTGCCACCTCTTCAACAGGACCAATATACATGGGCGTCTTTCTTGCTGCGAGTGGGATATTTGCCGCGATCACTAATATTCTTCCTTGGGTTGCGAACAATGCGAGTAGTGATACGAGACGGGGTGCTGGATTGGGGATTTTGGGACTGGTGGGTCAGTGTGGGCCGTTGCTGGGCACAAGGGTGTATCCTGCGAAGGATGCGCCGTGTTATAGGTTGGGGATGTGGTGTTGTGCGGGGTTCATGTTATTCAATGCCTTGCTTGCGGTGGGACTGAGAGGGTTGCTTACGTGGGAGAATCGGCAGCTTGATAAGAAGTACGTATTTCTTAGAGCTACTTCTCCGGTACTAAATGGCGAGTGTGGGGATGGGAGATTAGAGTTTTTGGGAGTGATGTTAACTGAATTCATAGGTATGGTCCCGTGGCCAGGATCTCTGGGGATGGTAAGGTGGAAGGAGGACCTGCTGGTTTTGGGGATGAGATTGAGGGGCCAAGGTTCAGATACGTGTTATGATGTGGTCGATGGTGTACAGAGCAAGCCGGAATGGTCAAAGAGCTGTCCAGCTTATTTTAGGAAAGAGGTTGTAAGTGTACAATTCTTGACTCAAGCCGGACAACAAACCTTCCGTTTTATCCCCAGCACTTCAATATTATTTGCGCGAGAGGGGAGATACACAAATGACTGTTGATGGTGGCATGCCAGGTACTGACCGAGCAGCTGCTTCGAGACAGCAAACAATATTGGCAGAGACGCGCCATGTTCTGTCAGGACCCCGAGATGTACATGAGGCGTGGAGCTGGAGAAGAGGAATATGAGTCCAAGCCGGAAGAAAGGAATATGGATGCATTCCCGAACTTCAGATGTTCGAAACCGATGTCTGGGAAAGGGGTCAGCCGCACCCGAATCGAATCAAGCCCACCCGAAGCGGCAGAATATTCAGCCTGATGGGCAGCTGCCGGCTCAACGTCTGATGTCCACTCAATCCAGTCTCTGGGGGTCTTTCTGGGGTAATGCATGTAATATATCCTCGCGTCAAGCCCCTGGTCCCCTCGATTCTCATTCGCTCTCCTGAAATTTTGAACTTATCAGCTGGTAAAGTACGTGTGGAAGTACAGATTTTCCGACCCGCCGTTTAATATCTGATCCTTAGCGGATACGTCTTTCTTCTAGGAATGGGGAGGAAGAATAGAAATTGTGCCCACGCCAGCCGCCGGCCGAAGGTCCATTATGCTGTTTAAGACGGCACCCACACCTTCATCCACTATTCAGGGAGACTTCTTCAACGTTCTTATAAGCTTGAAGATAGACAAAAATGGCTTTCACGATAAAATCCTTGTCTTCGATCTTATTGTTGGCCATCCCAGTGCTCGCCAATCTGGCTCTGAATATGGAGAAGCGTCAGAGCCCGGTTTCCGCCACGGAGTTCGTTGATGTGAGATGTGGCCTCCCATCAGGCTACAGTTTCACAAGCGACCCGAAGCTCCCTGATCCTTTCACTTTCGCTAACGGCACCAAAGTGAAGAGCAAGGCAGACTGGCCCTGCCGCCGACAAGAGATCAACGACCCCTTCCAGAAGTATGAACTGGGAACCAAGCCGATACCGAAGGCGGGGGCTGTGGCGGGAAGCTTTTCAGCTGGAAAACTATCCGTCACTGTCACTGAAGGTGGGAAATCCATCACCTTCTCTGCAATAATCAAGGCGCCAACCGGCGGAACTGCTCCATACCCAGCAATCATTGGTATCGGAGGAGTCAGCATCCCCATCCCAGCAGGCGTCGGAAGCATCACCTTTGGCAACGACGAGATGGCCGCACAGCAGAACAGCGCTTCCCATGGCAAGGGGAAATTCTTCGACCTGTATGGCAGCTCCATGAACACCGGCGCCACCACCGGCTGGGCATGGGGTGTGTCCCGCCTCATCGACGCGTTGGAGAGCACAGCAGGCCACAATATCGACCCCAAGCGTCTTGGGGTCTCGGGTTGCTCGCGGAACGGAAAGGGAGCCTTCATCGTTGGCGCCCTCGATCAGCGCATCGCGCTCACCATCCCGCAAGAGTCCGGGTCTGGAAGAGCAGCATGCTGGCGTATCTCTGACAATGAAAAGGCGGCCGGGAAGAACATTCAAACCGCTGGGGAAATTATCAGCGAGAATGCGTGGTTCGGAACCCCGTTCAACACCTACGCAAAGGTAACCAGCACCCTGCCCTTGGACCACCACATGCTGACTGGTCTTGTGTATCCCCGTGGGTTGTTTGTAATTGAAAACGACATTGACTGGCTTGGTCCTGTCAGCATGACCGCTTGCCAGGAGATTGGACAGCTAATCTATAGTGCAAATGGCGCCACGGGCAACTTTGGTTTCTCGGGCCATTCTCATTGTGCGTTCCCGAGTTCGCAGTCTACGGATTTGAACGCGTATATCACGCATTTCTTGATTAATGGAGGGACAGGGGATATCAAGCAAGTGCAGACGAGCAGTGCGAAGGCTACACTGAGCACATACTACTCCTGGGCTGTCCCAAGCTTGGCATAAGCTGCGCTTGGGCGTATTACTGATTTTCTTTGCTTGAAGATTCAGTTGGTAAAAATGAGTAGGAAGAAAACGGCCTTGTACAGAGGAGAGGATGGACTGATGGGAAGTCTGTGTGAATAACTTTGCTGCAGCACTTGCTCGATAAATGGAGCCAGCGGAAGGAGATGCGTACATAACCACAAGGACTAACTTCTGAGACTTCCAAAAATGACAGAAATAAGATGCAAGAAAACGCCGAAGTTGTGGCTCTTAGTCCCTCCTTCAATCGTGTTTTCCGATTCAATACTTATTGGAAGGGAGTGAACAACGCTTTCTTGGATGTTTTGGCGGGTGAGTTGACTAGTTCGTGAGCATCAGCAAGCGTTCGGAGTTATTTCTAGGACATCTCCGAACAGTGGAAAAACTATATTTACATTTTGTTACCCATGCTGAAGAAACTCAGTAAGGTATGCAATGGTTTGGCGAAACACAACCCAATTCCCGTGCAACCGAAAAGAAGAACAGGCCAATACATCAATTTTACAAGACCACCCCTCGTCAAAGAAGCATCCTATGCCACCGCCGAGACTACAGATTCACTTTGAGGGTAATTTGCCTGCGTAACAGGACCTGTAGTAACACTTGTTCCACTGGAGATCCGGCTTCCATCAGCGTTCTGCTCCAAATGCTCGCCAGCAACGTGATGGCCAACGCTCTCGCCACCCATAACACTTCCCTCGAGAGTTTGTTGGCGCTGGCTCGCTGAACTCGGCATCAGGTTGTCGTTGAGTTCGGCATTTGAAGGAACGTCTTCCAATTCCGGCTGCCAGTCCTTTAGGTCATCTTCTGCGTCGTTGAGGATTTGACGGGCCTGGTTGGTGTGTTCATAGGCTGGCCGAATATCTCCTGGGACGACAGGTGTATCATCGAGGAGGTTGAGAAGTCTGCGGCCGTGTCGGGCGAGGATGATTTGCTTCTCCGCGCGTTCAATGGTGGCTGCGAATTCGGCAGCGTATGCCTCCTTCAGCTTCTGACGAGTCTGTCCCAATTGTGAGTCATGGGGCATGGGTTTGTGTCAAGGATGCAGACGTACGACGTTGGTAAGTTGTGCTTCAGCAACTAAGTTCTCTGCCTCTGCTCGAACAAGCTCCTGTTCCAATGTAACCAACTTCGCGCTTTCCGGCTCCTTCGCCTTCAGCTTGGCAATATCATCCTGGATCCTCGCTTTGCTATCTCTACTGGGTTGGACGCTCTTCTCGGTGTTCCTAATTGTCTTCAAAATAGCTCTGCTGTCATCCAAATTGTGCGCGTAGAGATCCTCTTGTTCACCAAGCTCGGAGAGTAGAACGCCAATCTTGTCGGAGATATCGCTGATTGCCTCGTCGGTGGTGGCTTCGCCCCAGTCGGAGAGTTGGCTTGCGATGGAAAGGCGTTCTTTACCAGCGGCTTCGTAGTTTTGAATGAGGTGATTCTCGGACTTAATTAGTTTGTAGAGTTTCTTGCTCAGCTCGGGTTGGACGGTACCGCGGAGGGAACTGAAGCTGAAGCCATGACGGGCGCCCGAGGAGGAGTTGGAATTCTTGTTGGAACGAATGGAGAGGGCTCGATTCCTGCAGGAGGCAGAAGGTCAGCAACGTGTCGCAGGCAAGCAAAGGGCCATGGAATGTCTCTACAGGTGTCTGAGAGGAGAGTTCTTGTCCGCCGACTTGCGGGAATTGCTGCGTCGCATGGTGATGTGCCAGAGCATGGCATTCCGGGTTGACTTACATTTTGAATCTCGAATGCGATCGAGAGTCGACTTCCTGTTGTTCCGGTCAGCACCTTCCAGTTCTATGGTTCCCATTTGTCGTCGCGACCTCAGCAACGTCATCTGATTACTTTGCAGGTAGACTGACGAACCTTGCAAATATGTGGAGATGGGTGATCACGGATATTAAGAACCAGGATATGAGGATATAATTCTGCTTGGACAGGGAGGCTGTGCAGATTCAGGGTCCTGGCTTGTTTGTATTTGATGTTTTGGGATGAAGAAGGAGTCTCTACGGACTGCAGATGCGGAGGAAGGACCGATGACGTCGTCTCGCAGTGAAGTGCTCGCTTAATTTCAGGGCCCCTCCTCTTCCCCGAAGTTGACCCCTCGTGTTCAACGCTCCCGACCCAAAGAAAGGCGAAAGGCACAAGACTCAGGTGAGGAACAGTAGTAGACCCAGCTGGTTTGAATTTTTGTGATCGATTGAAGGGTTCTACGCAGAAACAGTTCGTCAGCGGTTTGGCTGATGATCACGTGACCGACTCCCTTCCTCTGAATCTCGCATGTCTGGTTGCTGGAAGAGTAAGCGATATGGGCGTGGCAGACTTGCTTGGAGTCTGGAAATTGCAACGGCCGGAGCGTGGGATCGTCATCATCACGCAATTGGTTCATCTGGGCAACAGCTAACGATGCTCACGAGCTTCAAAAATAACACACATTTCAACTGACCATGAAATTACGCTGGAATATGACGAAATACGCTAGAAAAATGAATCCACCAAATGCGCCCCGCTCAACCAACCATACTCCTTAGTACCTTACACGCTCATCCCTGGCCTTTACTCCGCCACGCTAAAACCATCAATCGTATTATCGAAACGACTTCTCATTGCTTTCGAACCTCCGGCACCAACTGTGATTCCAGTCCAAACTGCTGGTTTATCGACGGTAAGACCTTGTGCTCCTCCTCTCCTCGACGACCACAGGCGCGCTTCGTCTGTAGCTGCTCTGGCTCATCCTCGCAGGGGCGATATACTCTCTGCTCACTGGCCGAGAGGTTCTTCTAACTTCGGTGTATGACGATCTGCCGTGGCCGTGATGATGATGAGAGTGCCGTGAGACGGGTCGAGGTGCGATGTAGGTTTCCTCGATGTATGCGTGCCGGCGGCGCGGTTTGGGGCTGGAGAAGAGACACATCTTGACTTAATTTGATATTTGACTGGCTTGTCGTGGTATAGGAATAGGGTTGAGATTTGAAGGGGAGCGTGGGTCGGAAGACTTGTTCAAATAGCGGACTGAATAGACCAGAATGCAGGAATTGGAATTGTGCGTGACTCCCAACCCAACTCGGAGGGACAAGGCATATTTAAGTCGACTCACCCGGTGTACTGTACAAGGCTGCTCCAATGACATAAAACCTGCCTCTATGAACCCCCCCTGCAAGCTAAGTTGGTCTGCAAGCCAGCAACCGCATCGCAGCGGCAAATGTTTGACATTCTCACCCCTCCATTACCAACCAGGTGACTCCCAGCAACTATAAGGTTACAAGGATGTCACTGGCCACGAAAGTGTCCCCGATTTCTGCTGTTGGAAACGGAGGCTGCAAAGCCTCCAACTTCTCTCACCGACTAAGTGAGTAATGGAAACTTCGACAATGCGTTCGATCTCGTTGCCTAGATTGCGGCTCGGCGAGGCAGGACTCGAGCCAGCTGACACCAACATGGCTGTGTAAGCCCCATTCGTAGGGTGGCGAGTCGGATTACGGGTACAACTCAGAACCCGTCTCACTCGGCTCCTTCGGGGCTGTGTACCGATTCGTATCGTGGAGAGGAGATCTGGCAGAAGCAGTCTAGAAAGACTTGGTTCTTGGAGGAAAGCGTGGTGGGAAGGAAGATCAGGCTTTTGGGGAACGTGCAGCTCGCCAAGGTGGTGCGACGTCAGACCGTAGCTTGCAGGCACATCCCTGTGCCCCTATTTTTGGTTTGGCACAACCTGCAACACGAGTATATATTGGTCTTCTCGTATACCCGGGGCAAAATTTGTACCAAGTGGCCAAGTGGATCTTTTTCTGTTCATTTATATCCTGCGTGTCAAAATTATCCCATCTGAGCCTGAAAATTTGCGTGTTGCTTTCGGCATCACGTGCCCCTCTTAAATGCAGCCCGTCATGACTCTGATAGTCAAGCTCTCTATAAGACCAGAAATCATATCTCGCCTTGAGGTTTTGAAGTTATCTATGAACATACATGAAGAGCCATGGAGAATGATGGGCCGCTACCTAAGCAGGTTGTACAAGAATTTCCGAATTAATTTAATAAGGCCACATTAAATACTTATCGTTGTTCGTTAGTCACGCAGTACAACTCGCTCCGTGGATGCACAATATCCCAACGCAGCGGAAATAATGAATGCAATGCAAAACTAACCAGTGCTAACATCCATATGGCCCTTAATATCACCCCATATCGGAAGCTCCGTTGTGCTCGCAGGTATCTGAACATCCACACTGACAACGGAAATTTTGAGGCTCGGCACGTCTTCATTGCCGATGGCTGTGTCATCAGACAAGGTGACTCGATACTTGAGGTTCTGAGCCAGGTATGGGCTGACGTCCTTGGGATCCAAGCTTTTTAAATGCCCCGCGCCGATGTCGTTGATCAAAGCGTGGGTAAGAGGTATGGTTCCGGAGACCATCTGATCCGGATTACATCTGCAAGGAGAGTCCATGATTGCCGAAAGGCCTTTGACGGAGATGAAGTGAGAGCCAGCGAGGTTGGGTTCAAAAGACCACGACGCGGGATCCGGATTAAATGTACCAAGAAATATGTGTACAAAGAATGGGGCATTGAGAGCGTACTTCTGCACCCGAATATTGGCGATCCACTCCATGGTTGTCCCCCAAGAGTTAGTAGAATCCAACTCCCGTATTTTCAATGTTCCAGGCAGGAATGCTGATTGTGCTCCAGAACCGTAAAGCTTGTTGATGGCGGCGATGACCTGACTCGTGGTGGAATTGACGGTCTCTGGGTAAGCATAACCGAAGGTTGTCGTATTGGCAACTTCAGTTGAAGTCCAAAAGGCCCCCAAGGTGTCTTTGTAAAACGGTGTCAAAGCGGTGTTGGTGTCCTGAGTTTGGTGGGCGTAAGTCGTGAAAGTGCTGTACGTTGCTGGCCTCGGGACGACATAGCTCCCTGGATTCAGCACCTGCCACATTGCAAAGCATCGGTCGACCATGGCATGATGGAGCCAGAATACTGGATCAAAAGCTGAGTAGTCAATGTACTAGATAACGGGGAAGTCGGTCAGCCAGCGCTCGACAACAGATTTTTCTGGAATAGTTGGGAAATTATGCACCTACAGACAAGTGACCACCACTTCCAGTCAGGCCATGTATTTGATCATGAAGTGACTCGATGGAGTCGTAGCCGTTCGGATTATTGGATGAACTGAACCATGCCTCGTTGCTGAAGTACTCGTAGGAATGATAGTTTGTGAAGAGATTATACAGTCTGCGACGAAATGATGGTGCACTGTTGTCAAGCTGCTGTGCGACGAGATTGTTTTGCGATTGAGCGGAGGCGGTTTTCGTGGTGGGATATCTCATGGTTTGCTGATATTGGTTGAGCTATTCGAAAATCAGTGATGAGGAATGTAATGCGGCGGGAACAACGTACTGGGAAGTCTGGAAGGTCGTTTGGATTCAAGGGGTTGAATTGGTAGCTCCACAAAGGGTTCGCAATTGTTTGAGTTCCAACGGGGCCATCAACAACAACGTATGGCGATCCCCCAACGCTGGACGGGAACACGCTTTGTCCAGCTGGTGGAACTGCAGCCCAGTCCCAGTATGGTATGCGAAAGTCTGCAGCAGCAGCAGTGTGCTTGTCTCGAGTGGGTCCAGCGGGGTAGAGCTGGGCAATCTGCTGAATCAAATTGTAGAGTATTTGCTGAAGGAACCTAATATCAGCAAACACATGACAGGACATTCAATGGCAGCACGAACCTCGTAGAGCGCAAGATATGGGCGATGCCATGGCGGGAAGAGGATCGAAACATGCGTACAGTATCCATTTTCCTCGTTGCCAGGCACTGGTTGAACATTATCAAAGGGAGTGAAGGGACGACCGTGGATTCCTGGTGTATCTGTTAATGGCCGACCGAAATAGAACCGAGGCCTTCAACCTGTGATCTGGTACCAGGACAACATCTCCGTCTGGTTGGTATACTGCAGCATGTCCAATCCCAAGATGTAGAGTGTCCATGTCGTAGAATCCCGTTCCAGTTCCCGAACTTCGAGTCTCAATGGCACAGAGCCATTAGGCCCGCTCCCGGTTTGCACTCCCGTCACAACAACCGGCGAAGGGGACTGGCGCTTGATAGTGGTGCTGCGGTCGATACCGCCATAGTCGTAGGAAGAGAATGGAAGCGAATGTACCAATGCTAACAGGTACATCCATGAGAGGAGGAGCAGCAAAAGGAACGACATGCTGATGGTGTTGAGAGAAAGCCGCTGAATGAAGGAAAGATGGTGTAATTCCAGCCGGAACGAATGTGGTACTTGTGTGCCTGGAACTAGAGGGAAGGAAGGCAGGACTCTTGCGTGTATTTCAACATGCAGGAACGAGGTCTGCGACTACCCGTTTCGGGATTTCTGAAGATCATGATTTCGAACGCAACCACAAACGCTTGGCAGTCTCAAAAATGACACCTAGCTTTCAATGTCCTAAGCTGAGTTGGACATGCATCGGTGGGAGTGGAATTGGATGTCTCAAAACTTCGAGGACATCCGAAGAGAAGAGGACTTGAATATACTATACCTTCACTTGAGGGAGCTTTCGGCGGCGAAGTATCGGAAATGTCCAACTTGACTTGGGTTATCGAGAGAACCTGGTGGCGCTTTCCAGTGCCACGATTGTTACATCGGGGTTTGTACAATGAGTGACAACCGTCGAAGCGAGAGAACCCACGCCCCTCTCAGGCAGCTGCGCGTCCCTTTCTCCTACGAGTTCGTCAGATCTTGTAAGTCGTCTGCTGCCACCGCGGGACAATGCATGGTCGTGGATCGAGTCATTCCCCGATCTCTTGTTTGCGTGTGTGGATGAAGTGAAGTTTCCGTGATGTCAATCATGATCTGCTGTGTGATTAAAAGAAAAGTACAGTACAGACGCGGGAACCTGTGAGCGGCAACCCCGGAAAACCCGCTGTGCTGGCATCGAGTCAGAAGCTGATCGACAAAGTGGCGCCCTTTCTCACACTAGGATTGTATCTTATGCGATTTCCAAGTTTAGATCGTCGGGAATAGCCCAGGTAATAAATAGGACGTGATGAGCTCGAGGAAACGGTGTCGTTGATCGAGTTCGAGATTACAAACTTTTGCCAGAACCACCCAGCAATGCTCCATGTAGATGCTACAAAACTTCCAAAACGCCACGACAGCCCATCATGGGCCAACATTATACTTCAGCTTGATGCCCATAGCAGCAAGCTCAACATCCAGGTATTTCAACACCCCAGGCACAGCAACAATCGTCGTCTCATCACCACCAATATATCTCTGGCCATCCCCGTCTTCCCACACCTCGCCTTTGCCTGACCAATCCTCCGCTCTATGCGCACACTTTCTGCATCTCACGACGCCGGTTCCTTTCTTTCTCGGGGCGAATTGAGAGACGGTTGGCTGAGTTGACAGGAATGTCCCGCACTGTTTGCATATCCAAGATTTGGTGTAATCGGAGCAGTTGAGAAGACGATCCTGGAGAAGGAATGCTGTACCATGTGCAAGTAATGAATCTCGCTCCATTTCCCCGACACGAATACCACCACCCTTCTTCCTTCCCTTGATGGGCTGGCCCGTCAGCTGCGTCACAGGTCCCGTTGTTCTGACTTGGAATTTGTCGTTCACCATATGTCGTAGACGTTGGTAGTAGACAACTCCGATGTAGATGTCTGCATGTAATTCTTCGCCCGTGATTCCGGAGTACATGGGCTCGTTGCCGTGATAGTTGTATCCAGCTTTCATGAGCTGGTGACCGAAATAATCACCAGCGGTATGTTCCTCGTCGAATCGGAACGGTGTGCTATCCTGCGCCAAACCATGGAGAGCGCCAGCCTTCCCAGCAAGGGACTCGATGAACATACCGATCGTCATCCGAGAAGGGAAAGCATGAGGGTTGATGATGACATCTGGCTGGATTCCGGATTCCGAGAACGGCATGTCGATGCTGGGCCATTTTTGAGAGCAAACACCCTTCTGGCCATGGCGAGAAGAGAACTTGTCACCGATGACTGGAGATCGGGGTATTCTGAATTTAATCGAAATTGCTTGACAAGGTTCGACACCGTTTTCGTTGCCGATCAGTCGTACTTCTTCGATGAAGGTAAGTTCAGTTTCCTTGTACTTCTCAAAGTGTGTGATTCCGTCTCGATTGACGAGGTTCCCATTTCCGTCAGGAGACACCGTATGCCAAGCACAAATCTTGTCTCCTTCTTTGATAAGGCGACCAACGTATGGCAGTCCATCTTCGTCGATCTGCCCCTTGATCTCGGCTTTGATCTCAGAGCCCGGTGCAAACCCAAAGAGTTTCTTGACATTTTTTGAGGACCTGGATTTTGAGCCCCCTTCTTCAAGATCAATCTTTTTGACCTTGTAGATTGTCCCATGACCAAAGCCTCGTTCGTGTGCTGATTTGTTGATTATCATAGCGTCGTCCATGTCGTAACCGGTGTATGAAATGACAGCAACGACAGCATTCATACCGTTTGGGAAGTTGTCGAATCCGTAATCGTTGTGGAGAGGGGCTCGAACAATTGGCGTTTGTCCGGTCTGGAGTCGGTACGTCTTGTTGTCGGTCCTGTATCGGAGTGCTGTCCCTGGCGTTCCCATCGATTGCTTGCCCATTTGACATTGGTACATGTTTCTTGGGGATTGGTTAAAGTCGGAGAATGGGGTCATATTTGCAAGAATGGAGAGAATGTTGGTAGGGTCGAATTCAACGTGGGTGGATTCGCCAGATATGATCTCTGTCTCAGTGACAGCAATTGACATGAAAGGTTGTTCTTGAGGCCCAACAAAATCCTCCTTGTCGAGTGGGAGATACTTGACTGGTCTGATCATTCGAGCTGGGGCTGACGACATGTATATTCCGGGATACTGACCGCCATGCGAGTTGGGAACGAAGCAGATTTCGAGCTCCTTTGGGACATTGTGCGTGCCATCGACTTTCCAGTATCGCAGAGTGTCAGCAATCACGAGAGATTGTTCTGGCGAGCACCATCCGAGAATCTTCCCGTCCAGTAGAACACCAACACTCTCTTTCGTGGATGCTGAGCCTGTGCTGACTACTCCGAGATCAAAGATTAACTGGGGTATTGCCGAGACGTCCACCGCTTGGGTCATGATCTTGCATTTGTGGGCGAGATGGTTTAGCAGACCGCAAGGACTTCCATCAGGAGTGTGAACAGGGCAGAGAAACCCCCAACTTTCTGGCAGAAGTTTTCGCACGGTTGTAGTCTTCAGTTGAGCAAAGAAACTACCTCTATGTACCATTCGAAAGTGACTGATAAATCGGAGGAAGTTGATCTTCTCGGCAACCACAGTAAAGCCCGAAACTTGCTGCAGATCCAGGCCGGTCGGACTGATGAGATTCCCAGTTGACATGAAGTATTCCAAAGCTCCTCCAATGTTTTCGTTTGTACGACCGCAGATTTTGACCGGGAATTCCTTGAGGAAGTCTGGCGAGGCAAAGTTATGCTCGGGGCTTTTTCGGATGTAGTCTCGTATTGCAGCTCGCAAGCTGGTTGAGACCCAGTCATCGAGCCGTTCCTTGATGATCATGCCAAATAGAAATCCTCCGAGGAGGATCTCTTGGTTCTGAACAGCATCGGGATTGTCCACAGCACAATCCCCAGCAACTAGAGCATACAGTTTCCTTGTCATAAACAACAACAGTTTGAACTTGTCCATATCTTGTGCTTCTGTAACATTGACATTTCCAAGATGTGGAAGCACAACCTTTCGCAAGAATTCGGTTCCACAGTCATAATTTGACCATGTTTCAGGAACCCCGAGCACAACCCGAAATTTCCCTCCCAAGTATGCCCTTGTCTTGCTTTTCGTGTAGAGTCCGTAGTTCTTGTATGTGCGAAGTAACAGCTCAACTCGGTCGGTCAAGAATGTATTATTTGATCCTTCGGATCCAGCAAATCCAACAAGGCCTTCGAATATCTCTCGGTCATTGGTTTCTACCAGCGCCTTCAAAATCATCATAACAGGAATGAGGTATTCTGCCTTCCGCCACGAAAACCGAAATGTAATATTGCCGTCCTTGAGGTAATGTAGAACATTGGTCTGGGATGTTTGGTCTGGACGTACTGATCGCACGATCATTCCATACTTCGTGAATGCGGGTCCCCTGCCTTCGAATGACGGCCGTTCGATTGCCATTGGGAAGTTTCTTCGATTGACGACCAAGAGTCGGATGAGCTTTTCTATGCCATTGACCACGAAGTATCCACCCAGCTCTTCGGCCTCTTCTTTTCGTTGCACCAATAGGGCAGGGGAGTTGTTCTCGAGATGGCATCGACTTGACTAGTACTGTCAGCATTTGGCCCGGAACTTGGCGGGTGCCACTTGCCATCAACATCAGGGGTATCTGCCCAAGTTCCCGAACAAACTCATTTGGGTCTCCATTGTTGATTTGGAACTCGAACCGGGCACGCATCTTCCCCCGGTAAGTGACATGTCGTTCTCGGCATTCCGCTGGCAGGATTTCTCGATTCCGAGTGGAGAATTTGTTCGAGGGTGGCAAGACTGATTTTTCCACAAAGACCTCCTTGATTTTGATCGCCAACTTGTTTTTTCCGGCAGGCCCATCTCTGTCGTTGCCATCGAGGTATGTTTTGGTGCCAATGTCCAGTAGGCTTTGGGCAATCAGCCCGTCCTCTCCAAAGAGCGCATTGAACGACTCGACATGGGGGGCGATTGCGGCCTTGAGAGCTGGATATGCAGTGTGATCTTTCGGGGGGTTTCGAAAGAGGTTTTCCCTGCGGATTGTGTCAAACTCGTGCGTCCAGCTCGTGCTTGTGGGGGAGGCTGAAGGAGGAGGAGGCATGCTGGAGCCGTAATGGGGTCAGCACTTGTGGTTTCACCTGCGCTGTGATTGTGATGTGATGGAGATGCATAGGTCATAGGCGGTCGTGCGGTTCGTTCGTCTCCTTACGAGCTCCGGGTCATCAATGCCCAACGTGAGGCTCGGTCCAATGTGCTGTGGCGGAGGTGAGGTTTTCGCTCGATGCAGGCTAAGCAGGCGTGGCAGGCAAAAAAACATCTCCAGACTTTTTGCTCGCTTATGATAAAAGGTTCACACTAGTTTCTAACGAGGCGGATTGATTCCTGCCCGATAGCGTCAGGCAACACCATCGAGCCCCTTCCAGCGCTGCGACTGGCCACAACACCACGGGGTCCATCCAATAGCCAGGCCAACAGCCCGGAAAAGCCACGATAGGTTCACAGCGTTCTTGCACGGGAGCAAATCACCAGCACCAGCAGCGAAGCCTCTGCCCTGCCCGCCGCCCCCCCCCTCCCGTGTTCCCCTCGCCGCTGCTCCCCAAGCCCAGCCCGAGCAGCCTGCACCAACCGAACCCAAACCTCGAGCTCGCCTTCTTTTCTCCAACCTGCAGCACAAGCAAGCATACGCAGCATACGCAGCAGCAGCAGCAGCAGCATTAGCAGCATTAGCAGCAGCACGAGCAGCACTACTAGCACAAGCAGCACAACCAGGTGCAGAACCTCACCTGCCGACTCCAGCCTCAAACCTTCTCGCCTTTGCTCTGCTCTGCTCTGCTCTGGCTCGTCAGCTCTGGCTCGTTCGCCCCAATCCACGGCCGTCGACGCGTCCAGCATCAACAATCCTTCTGTTCTTCGGCCGCATACTCTTGGCCGACTGGAGGAGCTTGGACTCGGGGCAGGGGCCTTTTCCTGCGTCTTCCCCTCTGCGGATTTGATTTGAATCTCTCACTGCGCTACAGCTGTTCGCTACACCGTCATCTGCGAGAAGGGGCTCCTTTTACAATTGCTGCAAGCGGAGACTGCAACTGTCATACGATTAACGATCTGCATTGCGACTATCTGGTTTCTGCGAAGTTGCGGCATCCCACATCTCCAGGTTCAAGCTTCACCACCCCCCCATTTGCTCTCCCTCCAGCCTTGCGCAACTCCCAGGCAACTGCTCGCCCCAAAACGAAGATCTCGGGCAATCCTCGATTCCCCTTTGCGATCGAATAACCATGGCAGGACTATTCAAGCGGGTGTATGATTGGCTGTTGAGGCTGTTCTGGTCAGTCTTCTCTGCTGTGTCTGGGAGCAGGTCTTGCGCGCCCATTTGCAAACCTCTGCGTGGGAGTTCTCGTGCCGCAACTGCAATATGATGCTGACCCGAATTTCCTGATGGTAGGGCGACGGAGATGGATATCACGATGATCGGCCTGCAAAATGCTGGCAAGACCTCGTTATTGAGGGTTCTGGCGGTAAGACACCCACCACTCACTCCAAATCCTTATCGCGCCAACGCTGACTCTTCTGCGACGAACAGGGCGGTGAATTCACTCTTGAGTATGTCCCACTATCGCGCAATCGACCTCTTTGGTGCTGTGGCGGGGTCCTGCGACACCCCCACCACACGGCCCGATGGAGAATGCTGGCTGACCATCCTTCTCCCCCTACAGTTCCATTCCAACCGTTGGATTTAACATGAAACGCGTACAAAAGGGCCATGTGACGCTCAAATGTTGGGATCTAGGAGGGCAACCTCGATTTCGGTCCATGTGGGAGAGATACTGCCGAGGTGTAAACGCCATTGTGTTCATCGTTGATTCGGCAGACACCGAGGCCCTGCCGGTCGCAAAGGATGAACTCCATCTTCTCCTGGAAAAGCCGGTGTTGGATGGGATCCCCTTGCTCGTGCTCGGTAATAAATCGGATCTCGAGGAGAAATTATCCGTCGACGAGTTGATCGAAGCGCTGGATCTCAAAAGCATCTCCCACCGGGAAGTGAGCTGCTACGGGATCAGCGCGAAAGAGGAGACGAATCTGGATGCCGTGTTGCAATGGCTCGTTGCTCGTGCCAGCAAGTAGTCCCGTGGAGTCGAAAACTTCCTAGAAACTCAAATTCCACCTTCCCTTCGTGGCTGAACCTCTGGGGACCCCAATAATGACGATCATGAAAACTGAAGGAAAGATAAAACTTCCTCTCCGGTCTGCGAAGACCAAATACATCTCCCCAGCTCACTGCAACTCTTACCTTTTCCGTACATCTTCTCACGGCCTCCAGGACGCAATAGGCGTCCAAATCTGGTTCGAAAGGGATCTCGTTGCTCCCCGTTCTGTCTCTTCCCCTTCTCTAACGAATGCGCCATGTCTGCAACGATGAGACGACTTTGATGACCTGCGTTCGTTGCATCAGCGGCCTGCAAGCTGCTAGATTTCTTGTGTTTTCTGTTCTTGGTTCTGGCATTCGAGCGTGGTCTGGTTCCTCGGGGGTGATATTTTTGCGGAGGCTTTGGTGAAGGCATCGCTTGGGTGTTCCTGGATTGGGAATGGCACTGTAATTAGCATATTATACTCATATTGCGACCTTGGTAGCGGTCTCTCTCGAACAAGATTTTTCTAGGTGTGTGACTTTGGGTCTCGCCCAGCTTGCGTTTGTGAAATGTTCTTCCTGGTCATGTGCAGGATGAATGCTTTGGTGGTCCCGGTGTGTTGGACATCATGATGCAAGTTTGCAACGGAGTGAAGCGCCGCTTGTTCAGAATCCACATCATTGCGTGTACGGGGGAAGTAGAATTGAGAGAGAAGAAAAAATTGGGAGAACTCAGAACCGGACTTTCATTGCAGCAAGTACAGTTTTACAACTCAGACTACGCACAACCATTTGATGCGTTGGCAGTTGACGCATGGGACACCCTTGCTGCAGAAATAAGGGACGTTGATTGGCCACTGCGGAAAGGGTGCTCTGCTTCGGCGCCGATCATTTGATGATGACGGAGAGACGGAGAGACGGAGAGACGGCGAGACGGCGAGACGGCAAGGGTTGGCCAGATGCCAGATGCCAGATGCCAGATTGTGAGTCGTGACAGATTCTGTGTGGCCGGAGCCAAACTGACTTGGGCTTGGGCTATGGAATCTTGGAAGCAGGAGGTTGGTAAACATCTGCATGCAGTCGCCGGAAGGGGGGTCTCAGAAGGTGATCTCACATCTCAAGACAAAACCCCATTGAAAGAATGGATGTGGAATACCGGTCCTCGCCTCGCTCCTGTTCTGCTCGGACACCCAGCCAGACACACACAGCCCGAACGACGCACCTGATTCCGCGGCCCTCCTCGAGTCCTCTCCTGCAGGCTGCGGCAATTCTGGTACTACCCCAGTACGTACTACGTACTGTCCGTAGTGAAAGCCGGGCGCTGAAGGGAGCTCCGCATCCGAGCTCAGCCACCCTCTTTCGCAACATCACGCGAACCTCGAGACCTTTATTACTCACACGCACGACCGACCGACAATCTGGTCTTTGTTCGACACTCGAATTCATTTTCCATCAAGTCGATTACATCAACTTGCGAATCCATCAGAGTGTCTGTCGTTTGATCGAAACAATCGAAACAATCGGGACAGGGCACAACCCAACACTCCACCTCCTCCGCCACTCCACAATCAACCACGAACACCCAACCCCACCATGGCGCCAACCTCCATGCAGGACATGCTCATGGACGAGGTTTTGAATAGAATTGGAAGGAGATATGTGTAAGCTTCCTCGCTCTGACATCTTCTTGGTTCTGCTTCTCTACCATCAATGTCCAAACACAAAATGCTCCTCAGCTCAGCACGCGAAAAACCACTAACACGGCGATGTACAGCTGCTCCTACGGCTACGATGTCTACGGCAACTGCTACTCGAGATGGAATACCTGGGGGCGATGGGTCGCTTTGGGTGTAGTCGTCGCCGCGTTCATTCTCCTAGCTTTCCTCTTCTCGTATGTTCCTCTCTTCCCTTCCACCTACCTCCCCACTGACCCCTATTAACAGGCGCTACAACAGTCGCCGTCGCCGTCGTCGCGGCATGGCCCCCATGTACGGAACTGGCTGGATGGGAGGAAACTGGAGTCACAAGCCTCCCGTCGGTCAACAGTACGGAAATAATGGAGGATATTACCCAAACCAACCCTACAACGGCGGCGCAGCTCCTCCCTACGAACCACCGATCCCCAACCAGGCTACAGGCACGACCTTCAACAGTAATGATGGCTACTATGGACACAATGCGTATGAGTTGCAGCAACCGCAGAACAGCTATCAGCCTCAACGGGGAGGTGATCCGGTGTATGATGCTCCGCAGGGACCGCCGCCGAAGAAGGGAGACGGGATTATTCGATGAAGGATGAGGATGGAGCAAGAAGGTGATGGTGGGAGGATAACGAACAAGACACGAGGAATGGTGTAATGATAGGATACATACCAATTTGCGATGCTTTCTTTTGGGGGCGTCCTGGTGGCACACATCTCTCTGGCGGAGGAAGTCTGATATGTTGAGGGATACGTCTGTCGTTTCTGAGGGATGATGCAAAGACATCGAGAGAGACTCTACACGTTTATTGGGGGAAATCCGATTGCGCAAAATAGGAGCGGATGGAGTGCAGAGAGTTATGAGCGAGCTGTCACTCACGGCAAAGCCTGGCAAAATGCTAATAACAAATTTCAAATTACCTTACTTCGTAAGGTTTGAGTCGCCTCAAGACGCAAGTCTGATCGGTTTACGCTTTCATATCTCATGAATGCGAGGTTCACGATGGACCACATAGTTTCCAAAGCCGTCCATCCCGATCTCAAACCTCGCCGTCGTGACATCCATCACCCATAACCCATGAACGCGCGTCCCGCCTCCACCGCCTCAACAGCCACCCCACATCTTCCCGCCACACCTCACTCACAGCCCCGCGCGTGGCTGAGGCTGAGATTAGGGGTGGTTCAGTTCCGCCAAGGCTGACTGAAGTCTGCTGTAGTCGGTCCAACCCAGCCAGCCTTTTTTTGCCGATAATAACTTTTAAAATATTACTGTTAAACAGCATGGCAAGTGTGAAATGGTTCCGTGAGCTTATTTAGCTCCGGCTATCCGCGCCACCCTTCCCTTGATACTATAATTTGCAACTATTATTACAATAAACTACTAAAATCTTTATAAACTTATTGTTACGTGGCACCAGTCACGTGGTACTACACGTGACTTAGAATGTAGCTAATGATTTTAGGCTGGCAAACAGCCTTCAGCTCAATCGAAGCTCTACTGCAACATCGCCTTACCGTGACACTTATGAATAAATGTTTAGAATATTCTATGAGTAGACTTTTCTCCTTGGTCGTTCTTGCGTTCTTGCGTTCTTGCGTTCGGCCGACCTTGGAGCCGTCGCTAATGCCAGGGCTCGGCAGTGAACGCCCAGGAGCCCGGGGCCTGGCCACGAAATATTCTACTTGGTAGCTTCATCCCCTTCCATTCCCCCCCCTGCGCCACCTGACTTTCCTTCTTCCCGCTCCCTTCTTTATCCCCCCATTCTTTGCTCCAACTACAGTCTCTCCTTTTCTATCCCCCTCCCTGACATCCATTATGCGCTGCTGAAGTTGCGCGCCATCTTCTCGTTCTTTGACAAGTCTGGTATCGAAGTTGAGGGTCTATTTTGAGCTGGTCGGGTTGCGACTCGAGCCCCAACTCTCGTGAGATTGCACAGCCCAGCCGCCTCGTTTCAGCGCTGCCCAGTTTTGAACGGCCAAGCAACCCGAGAGCGACGAGAACAAAACATCAGACTCCCGCTCGAACTTCGGACGTCCCCCTTCCGTATCGACTTCAGATTGTTCCTGCGACGAAAGGCCAAAAGAAAACCGGGCCCTCTTAGGGATCTCAAGCGTCGAGAACGATCAGCAAGATCATCAGCCCTGGAAATTGACGTTTGAAAACACCGCTTTTGGGTATGGAGTAGGGAGGATCTGCGACCGTACATCAATCGGGACGGGCCTCGAAACAGTCACCCACTCTTTCTCCGCGTTCGCGAATCACTCTCGTTTTTTTTATTGCCATTCGTGGATACGCCAGCGACACTTCCAAGATGCCTCATATTACAACGGCGATGGAGCGGAGTATGAGGAAGAAGGTTGGGGACGTAATAGTGGCCAGTCTGCGGCCGCGAGATATCATCGGAGAAGCGTCCAGTGTCAAGAATTCCTTTTCGAGTTGGGATAATTGCATGAAGGCATCATATTGCAAGTCAGTGTTGCCAGCCTCTCCCCCAGGCCTCTGCTAACGGTGCCTCAGATGGCCTGTCATTATCGCGATCGTTGTCGTCTCCCTAATTATCCTGTCAGTCATTACGTGCATAGCTCGATGCTGTTGTTGTGGGTATTCATGTTGTTGCAGTTGCTTTTCGTTCTTGAAGTGCTGCGACTGTTGCGGAGATTCCTGTGCCGGTAAGAAGGACAAACCTATGAAGCATCTCGACGATCCATACTTTCCTCCGCCACGACAAGGATACCAGGCTCCTGCTCCGATGATGTCTGGTGCTGCGTTTGGCGCTGCAACCGGACATGGGAAGCCCGAGCCTCCTCAATACGCACAATTCGAAGTTGGAAAGAGTGGACTTGCTGTTGATCCTAAGGCCGGTGGCTTGAGCGAAGATGCCTTGCCTCCGATGCCTAGTTGGGAGACTGCGACGAAGAAGCACGTCTTGACGGAGGAAGAGAAGAATGCTGTTGAGTTGGGGGAATTGGATCCGGCGACTGGGCAAAAGGTTCCTCTTATGACCGGAGCAGCACCTGCTGGGACAAGTATGCCTCCAAGTCCTGTTCATGGGCACAGTCCATATGGCGCTCCAGGTCAAGCTGTTGGCGGTGCATATTCTGATGTTCCTGGAGATCACCACGACCAAAATCAAGCTGCCTTCAACGGGAATGGCAGAGCATATGGCGGAGCGCCTCCCGCCGCGGATCCGTATGCACAAAATGGGAGAGGTTATGGAGGAGCGGCCCCTCCATCGGATCCATATGCGCAGAATCAAGGAGCTTACGATGGCAATGGGAAAGGAGGATATGGGACTCCACCTGGGCCTGGAAGGGGTGGACCTGGGAGAGGCGGACCAGGCAGAGGTTATGGTTCCCCACAAGGTCAAGACTTTGGCGCACAAGGCCGTGGATATGGTACTCCACAACAAGATCCCTATGCCGCTGATGCTGGCCTTACTGGCGCTGCAGCTGGCGGATACGGTCGTCCTCAGCCAAATCGCGAATACTCGAATAACTCGAATAATTCCGGCAGAGCCTTCCCTCCTCAACCACAAAGACAATACTCTTCTGACTCTGCTCGTCCTCTGAATCCTGGACGCGGCTACTCAGATAGACCTTATCCTGGCGACAATTTCCAACCGGGCCGCATGGCATCCCCGCCGTTGAACAACAATTCCGGCTTTGACTTCGGCACCAATAACCAACAACCATATTCATCACGACCCTCGCCACCTCCTCAACAAATGTCATACGAATCGTCGAATGGAGGAGGCAGACCAAGCCCGCCACTTCAAGGAAATGGGAATGGATACTCAGGGAGAAGCCCAAACCAGCAGGGCCCGCCAGAGCCCAGCTATCCTGGATATCGGCCGTATCAAGCTCCTGGCCAAGGAAGTAGAGGCGCGATGCCGAGTAGTGCACCAGGTTCGCGAGGAGCACGGGAACCTCAACGTTGGGACCCTGTTCGTCAATAGATATGGGGTGGGAGGAGGATTACGAAGTGATGATGTTGATTGAAATGAGATACAATGCTCGTTTGTTCTTGTTCTTGATAAGATTCCCTTTCTTCACTGTGTGAATAGAACTTGGGGCTGTGGTTGGATTCCGTTTGAATGTTGGTCTGGTTCCATTTCTCTTTTATCGATAGGGTGACTATATTTGTTTCTTCCCCTTTCACTATAGTATTGTATATGTGCATCTACTGCGTAGTAGCATTTTCTGGCGTTTAAGAGCTCTTGAGTTTCTAAGGAGTTCGAGGGCTCGGCGGTCAAGAGATTGTGTTCGACAATCAATTCATCAAATATCAAACAAACTGTGATATTTGCAACGTGATTTATTGAACATCTTCGCATTGCTATCCCTTGGATAAGAAAAATCGTTGAGATAAGTTATCTTACAGTTCTTCTTTCGCCAGGCATGCATCCCGCTCGCTGCATCATTACCAATATTGGCCTAACCTTGATGTCTCTGCTCCATGGATCACGCCAAAACCCGATCCGCCATTATCCACCGTCAATTATCTCATCCCTTCGGCGTCTCACTCCTCGACGCGCTGCTCTTCGGTGCAGCGCTTCCAAAAGGAGGAGAGGACTGTCCCCTTCCCTCCGCTCGCGCTCTCGCGTCCTCGCCATCAAGATTATCATAAAACGCACTCGCATTCACGTTCTTCGGCGGTCCGCGCTTCAGGAGCTCGGCAGGCGACATCGCGATAGCAGGCTTCTTGGACGCAGACTGAGAGGTATATGAGAGGAGGGCGGACCGTCTTGCCTGTGGGGGGCGAGATGAGTGAGCTTGTGAATGCTTTGACACGGTTGAGGCAGTTGCAATCTTTAATTGCGAAGTCTGTCCTGGGACTTCAGACTTCGACACCGATGAGGCACTCGCGATGTTTGAAGGCGATGTCATCTGCGAATCTCTCGAGATCACTGATCTCGGCAGGTATGTGCCACTTGAAATCTTTGACCGCGAAGGCACCTGTGATTGTTTCGACGCAGACGCTCTACGAGGAGCAAATGACTTGCCAGGGAAAACTGTGGCTCCAGGCGGACTCAGCGGCTCATCGGGGTGTTTGCTGGACGGCGTAATCGTTTCGCTATTCAACAACACTTCCAGATCTGGAGCCTCTTCGTCGGCTAGGGGCCCTTTCGTGCGACCATAGAAACTGGATCCTGAGGGGGCGACCTTTGTGCCTGCCACCTTTGAGATGTGGTTGTAGATTGCGGTCGGCGACTTTACAGATGAGACAGCTGAGGCAGAATATGAAGACCTTTGGGACTCTCGGGGAGCCTGGGAAGGCGACTGTTGATGCGGTTCCTTTGGGGTTTGAGATTGGGAGGGGCGTTGTGACTCTCTAGAGACTTGAGATTGCAAGGGTCGATGCGACTCTCGTGCAATTTGGGATGGGCTTGGAACTTGAGAGGTACCTACATATTCGGAGGGTGCTTGAGTTGAGTACTTCGATGCGGCTTGGCCTAGGTACGATTTTGCTGCGGATTGAGGAGTTCGGCGACTAGCTCCAGGGTTGTAGGTGTCAGAAGGAAGTCGGCTTGGACCAAGTTGCGAAGGCGAGGCGGGCCGAAGAGATGAGCTCGGAATCTTGGAAAATCTTTCAACTGCGTCGTATGGCTTTCTCGTCAAGTCCTCAAAATCTCTTGGCATGACTGACGCAGTATTCGGAGGAGGGTTGCTTCCGCCAGGGAGCACATCGTAACCTCCGCGTGTGCAGTCAGGGCAGAGACCATATTGAGGACTCACGAGAACGACATCGTCCTCGTCCTCGTCTCGTTCAACGTCTGTGAGCATATGATTGTACTCATGCTGACAGACCTTGGATTGGTCACAGTGCTAACATTGTCAGCTGAGCCAAATGGTTGGTTAGGAGGGGATATCTAAATACCTTGTACCAAAATCGCTCTTTCGGGTCTGCTGGATTACACTGCGGACACTTACCATTATGGCTGTGATCCTCCGTGCGAAGCCTTGGACATGTCTGGTTTTCATTATCCCAATCAGGACATTTCTGGATGTCGCCATAGTATTCCTTGTGGCCACACTTAAAGCACTCGATATTTTTGAGACACATGTTTTCTGACTGAAGTTGGAGGATAGAGGCACGATTGACGGCCGATGATCTGTTGGGAAGAACGGAGGTTTGGAGAGGAAGACCTGGGGTTACAGGTAGGCATTTAAAAATTCGCAGCCAAGACTTGGCCACAGGGGTGTCTGAATCATTTTCTCATGTTCAAATTTATTCCAAGTTGCAGGCATATTATTTGAGCGCAGGTTGTTGTCCATTTCCACTCTCTGCAACGCTCTCCTTTGTTCGCTTTCCTTCCGACAGTCATGCTCTGCCCAAAATCATTCAGCAGCATACCATTCCCTCCATAACCACGGTCTTCCCTATTGACGTACTCCTTCTATGTGCTCTATCGCCTGACCCAAGTTGAGTCATTGAAACTCAAGTCTTGTTCAATTCAACGAAAGTTTCAGAGGGCATACTACTAAAACCGTCTCCTCCCGTCTGTATTAAGCAGAGCTAGGATGAGTCCTAAAGTTAAATCTTCAATCCTTCCATAATGCACGAAGTTACCTGTAACCCATTATGCCCAGTATTTGCTCCATTTACTAGTGTTTTGTTGTAAGTTTCTTTTTTTGCGAAGTCAATTTTACTTCTTTTCTCTGGCTGAAGCTCGCTCGTCTTGCAGCGAACTAGAGAGTACGCTTGAATAGAGAGGTCTAAATCTTGTCTCTACTAATACTAGGAGCTTCCTTTACGTGTGGCGTAGCTTGCTTTTAGCTCCAGCGGCATACTATAACATGCCTTTAATATATAACTCTAGTTTAACTCTTTACTTTATATTAAATAAATTATATAATTAAGGATAGAAACTTAAGTAATATATAAGACAGAAATTAGAAACACGTATCTTATTTAAATATAAAAGAAATTAAAATGTAACGAAAATATAAGGCTTAGCTTTATAATAAAATTGTAAAACTAGTTTTCTTAAAAAGAAAAAGGCAAAGTTAAAAGATGATTAAATTCTTAATTATATAAGTACAATTTTAAAGTAGTTTAAAGAAAGTACTATAGTATATATATAATAGAATTAAATTTGTATTATATATAAAATTATTAGTATTCAAAGGAAGTGTGACAGCACTGGCTAGGGTTATAAGGGGATGGCTGTCACTTGACTAGTTTCACCTTGCTAGCTGGCATTTCAGTGGTTTTAGCTAGTATCTCTCTCCATTTAACCTCTCTCTCTCTCTCTCTCTCTCTCTCCTTCTCTCTCTCTCTCTCTCTAGTATTCTCTCTCCATTCTCTCTCTCTCTCTCTCTCTCTCTCTCTCTCCTTCTCCTCTTTAGCTTAGTATTCTCAATACATGGGATTCTCGGAACTTTGAGCCTTTTTAACCATTGCCTTGATCCCGCCACAGGCAGATACTTTAGTAAGGCTTTGAGCAATGCTCTTATTTTGCAGTGCAACTCTTGCGTCAATCACAGGTTCCGTGGCAAGGACTAACGCCTGCAACAAGTTCAGATATGACGATTTTTCGATGTGGACGGATGAAAAAAACAAGAAACGTACCTGCTCGATGATAAGTCCGCCAAAACTGTGGCCAATTAAAATGAGCGGTCAGTCGCCGCACTAGCTCTCGTTAGCATATAAATTCCTTCCTACACAACCGATTTCCGTCTATGACTGGAACGTCTTCCGATGTGGGGCGTTTTTAAGAGTACTCACCCGCTCAATATCGGATGGATTAGAAGGATCTACAGTACATCAAGACTACGAGAGGTCCTCCAAACACCTCGCTCTTGAACCTTGTACGTGAGGTAGTAGGACGCGGTATCTCCCGAGCCAGTAAAGAGAAGCATGCGCGATTATAAATGCTGGAAACGCTTGATATTAGAAAGGTCAATATATATTCTTTAGAGAGAGCTATGAGCGCTCTCTAATGGGATAAAAAGACACTGATGCACGAAGAGGCAGGAACTCCGCTGATACGAATAAAGTTGACATCCGTTGAACTCCCAATTTGGTGCCGAGATAACAGACGATTACTTCCATTGCTCGAGGATCTAACTTTGTTTCCAAACTCTTGCCAGGTCCCTCATTCTACTCGATATTCTAGCACTGGCTTCCATGGTTTCCCAAGACCGACCGAGAGTCACCTTCTTATCTTCTCTCATGCCAAATCGTACTCCAAACAAGTGGCACTATCCCATTCGACATCGCCCATAAAGTTCCTTCCACAACTCGAGAAAAGCAACATTTGACAAATTGCCCCTCAAAACCAAATTACCACAACATATGCCCTCAGTTCAAGATGTCCTCTCTCTCATGCGATATCCCTCCCATTACATCCAGTCTTCTCTCTATACTCCCTCTCCGCAACAACCCCATAACAGCCTCAACAAGGCCCAACAACCCAGCGCTAACCTTCACAGGGGCTATGCTGTAGTTGGGCTGAGCAATATTTCGGTCATTCGCCTGCTGATATGTGGAGTTTGTTAAGTTGAGAGCGCCGGTTGCATCAGGTGTGAAGGCGGTGTATGGGTATTGGAGAGGTACCGTTGCATATGCAGGTATCTGAAACGCCATACAGGCCGTAGTATGCGCAGAGAGAGGCCGCCTTCAAGTAAATCATGGGCAAGTGTTTGAAGAGTTGGAGCGATATCCAGGTTGTATTTGAGCATTGAGTCTGTAAGTTTATGAATCTAATTACATATACTTATTATCTTGAATCAATGTAAAATATTTCCCCAAATGAATGTCATATACTGGCTTCAGTCAATGTTAGATATTTCCTTGAGTTGACATGAATGGTCTGGTTTGCGTGAGTATTCGAGTCAATGGAGGAGGGGGCCGCCTTGCTCGCCCTGCCGAGAAATTAAACCTGCCAGTACAGCTATTCTTGTGGGGTCTAGCTATTTCCTTACATTAAATCCGTCTCTATCCGAAAGCGGTTACTGTGGCCATTTGTATTAATTTCGAGGTCGTCTTCAGAATCCAGATTACCTCAACGTCGTCCCTCGTAAAAGCAGCCCGGCTGAACGACATTTTCGATATGGCGGCGACTTCTTGTCATACTCAGGTAGATTTTTAAAGGTGGTGACTAGTGCGACTTGTTGGTTGAAGACCTACATAAAACCCTCATATTATTACTGCCTGATCCTCACTGTTTTGTATCTCTGATTTATGTTACTAACAAATACCATCCGCATTCATTTTATACGGTTATTCGTATCGTTCCTCACTGGTTCCATTGATTTTACATACGATCTTATACAATGATTTCTCTTGCTGCTGCACCGCCACCCGCCGGTTGAAATAGATGTCTCGATTCTAGAATCTAAGGTATATAATAAGACATGAGAGCTTTAAATGAAGGATCCTCGAGCAACTGAGTAGCAGTAATTCGGCGCTCTGGTGAGCAAGAAAACCCCCTTTTCATAATAGACAGAGCATGCTCTCGCCCATCTCGGCAAATATCAGGTCGAAGGCGGTCAACTTTCCCTTCGAGCGTTTCATATCCTCCCAAGATCTTAGACAGAGGCATCGAGCCACTTTGATCGTACCACCAGTCCTTAGCCGCGGTGCCATTACCAAAATGGCCTTTCCAATGCGCTGGAAGGGGTCCCACTATATTGACTATACTGGAAACCGGGGTAGAGCCCTCACCCCAAATGATTTCGACGCCTAGGTAGATCTTTGCAAAGATACATGTAAAGCTCCACATATCGCTCGCAAAACTCGGGTTTATACCATGCAGCCTCTCTGGAGCACATAACAAGGGCGGAAGCTGAGCGGTGTTTTCTACCACAGTCCCGGACTTGATCGCAAGGCCAAAGTCGCATAGGCATACGGGATGTCTAAGCATTTCCCGCGGAAAACTGATTGGTTCTACGAGCTCCCCAGGCCTCCCCTCATCCTCTGCTAAAAGCACCTTTCGTGGTCGGCTGAGGCGCCGGTATTTTTACGCGGTTGTCCACTCGTCAATGAAATCAATACCCCATAGAGCTGCTCCGCTATTTAGGTCTATACGACTACTTAGTCCCTATGTACCAAGGGACGGGTTCAATATGGATTTACCTCGGTGGACAATTCCAGCGTCGTGTAGACTCTTCAGAGACAAAAGCAGCGGCATTGCTGCGGGGACCCGAAACTTAGGCGGTAGGTTGAAGCAGGCCGTGTCGAGATTCGGGCCTCGTAGCGGAAACACGAATACTGTATGGTAATCGCCTCTCTGGCCGGGATAGCGGAAAAAAGCTGGATACGTAACGAGGTTAGATGTATCTCGTACGGTCCGTATAATCTTGTCTTGCATGGCGCGCTTGTGTTCTCCTTGCTGACCGGATATCGCTACCTTAAGGTCACGGCCTTGTTCTGTTGGGTGTCGTGGGCCAGCCATACAGTAGAGAAGCCTCCCCAGCCGAGTTTGTGCTCGATACGGTACCTGCCGTCGAGCACCTCTCCGACGTAAAGAGGGCAGTACAAGCCTTCCCAGTACCGTATGCGAGGTTCAGCATCCGTCTCTACCTCGCACTCATCATCGGAATCGATGAAATCGCCGAAGTCGCCACCGTTGGGGATGTTAGGGATAGGTGCAGATGCCATTGGAGTAGCGGCTACGTCAGTTGCTGGATAGATGCCTGCCGAGCCTGGGGCAATAGCCTCTGCTTTAAATGGTACTATCTTGTCTGTGTTTATGAGCCGAGAAGAGGTATCGTTTCTCAGGGATAGAGAAAGGGTCATCTGTCTGTGGTGGGTGACTGATATTGTCTGGATTGGGTTGGGAGAAGAAGAGAGAGAGAGAGGGTAAAAGAGAAGAAGTACTAGCTAAAAGGACTAAAACGCCGGCCCCTGACAAGTGAAACTAGTCATATGACAGCCAACCCCATGTGACCCCAGCCAGCGCCGTTACAAAGGGTGTTTCTCGTAGCCATTAGGCTACAGCAATTCTATACGGCTAGCTCCTCTGCCTTGACTTTAGATTAAAGTTGCTCGTAAGCACTTATGATAATATTATTTAGCGCGGCCGAACCGTCTGGGCCATAGTAATGACCCTAGCAGCCTTCTCAAGGTTCTTAAGCGTTCACGTCGCAATCATTGGTGTAGCCGGCCCTCGAGGAGCCGCGACTACAGTCGGTCCGATCCAAAAGCGACAAAAAAAAAAAAAAACCACCACAATACTAATTGATATAAATCATATTAATTAAAACTATACTATATACTATAGGAATTAATTCTATATTCTCAAAATTATAATATCTTTATTATTAAGGAAGTTATAATATACGTGATTAAGCGAGCAAATATATTAGCGTTTTATATAGTCGTTTTTTTACTTTGGTTATTACGTAACTGCCCCCCTAAGTTAACCGCTCTTCTATAATTATATTAATACCTCAATAGCCACAAACCCAATCAAGTGCTCCTTTTATATACTTCTAATGGCTACCTCTATAAGGCTTCAGAAACGCAAGCGAGCTAATTCAACTCTTGATTCAGTTATAGTTCTTACCCTAGCTAAAGAAGCTATAATCTAAGTAACTATTAACGAACGGTATGGGAAACCCTCTAATATAGAGAATAATTCTAATAATTCAGATATTAAACCAAGTAATAAAGTAGAACTTAAAGATTCGATACTTTTTTGGGTTTAGTAAAAGCTTTTTATTAGTAGTAATAAGACGATTATTTTGGAGAAGCCTATATTCGCATAGCGAGAATAAAGACTTATAGAACAGACTAGTAAGTTTCTTATTTTATTTTCTTATTTTTATATTATAATATAAGTATACTAATATTATTTCTAGCTTCCAGAGGCTCCTATTTCTCCAAAATAATAAAGGAATTAGTAAAGCTATTAAGAACTTAATAAAGACATATATATAATTAGAGGGCAAAAGATACTCAGGTTATAAAGTAATCTAGTAGGCTTAAGACCCCTATAATTATACTACCTCTTAAATAAAAGAAGCTATAATTCGATATTATTAGGAGGCTAATTAATATTCCTAGAAATATATAATTAAGGGAAGAGCAAAGGCTTAAAAATAAAGATAATAGAACTAATAAGCTACTTTTGGATGCCCTTATTAGAAATGCTTACGGAGATAACAAAACTCTAGACATATAAATAACTTACCAAGAAGTCCTTAATAATATAGATATTAAGCTAGCTCAAATCAAAGAGCTATATACTCTATATATAATTACTAATTTATACTTATTCCGGTAATATACCCAATAGCTTCTAAAGCTAGGGCAATATTAACTTGGAAGGGTTAATATATTACTTCTAGTAGCTTCTAGTAATTATTACTTTAATAATAGAAAGATATTAGCTCGGTAAATTAGGGAGCTATTTAATTACTATTAATAGTAGCATGGTATTTTATAGGAAACTAGGGGTAATAAAAGAGCTAGTACCTCTTATCTAGATAATAAAGATATTTTTTTAGCTTACTATACTTGGTTAATTAATTAAGAGCTTGGAATAATATTACTAAATAATTTCCTAAATACTATTAATTAGGAGATTTTACCCTAATTATTATTAATAATAAAAAAGCCTATTACTCGTAATATAGCTTACTTATAGCTTCCTAGGCTCGGCTTTTATTACTATAAGACTAAGAAAGGGCTTTATATAAATAGATATAAATAATCTAATATAATTCAGTATTATTAAAAGATATTTTTACTATTAATAAAGGAGCTTTTATTATATATAGTTTAATATAAGAAGGATAAAGCTAGTATATGGCATATAATTTAACCTTTATTCCTAATTAGAGTTCAGGTATATATAATATACCTTTAAAATAAGAGTTATTTCTATAGATATAACTATAAAAAGAGCCTCTGGCTAGTAAATAGTTAGTAAAAAATACCCGGAAAGAGCAAAAAAAGGCTAATTCGTAATTCTGAATTCATAGGCCCTAAAGAATATATTAGGGTCCTAAATAATAAAAATATTTTTATTCCGGATAATCCTGATTTGGATACCTATAAAATTATATATCCAGGCTTAAATAGGGACCCCTAGTAGGATATAAAATAGCTACTAGTACAAATTACTAGAATATTTAATATATTTAAATAGAAGCACTCAAACTATATAGCTATTCTAATATTCGATTAGTTCTTTATATATACTTTATATAGCAAAAACATACTAAATACCTTTGGTATAAACAAGGTACTAAAAGGGGTTAAAAAGGGTAATATTAAGGCCTATAAAAGGGATATATACTTTCTACCAAAGTATATAATTCCGGGATTATAGGGCACTATTTAAGTCCTTTAGTAACTTAATCCAAATAGAGAAAAAGAGCCTAAGGATATAGAACAGATTCTTATTAAATAAGGTTATAATATACCTGGCTTAAGATTTAAGTATCTAAAGGATACTAAATATACTATATCTCTTAAATACCCTCCTGCTATTAAACAAATATACTATTTAGCTTATATATTATTAAACTACTAAGACTTCTTTAAAAAGAAGTCCCAAGTTAAAGAGCTTATTATAGATCGGAAATATAAGGCTATGTTTTTACTAAAGTTCTACTATAAAATCAACCTAATTAAAATATACTAGGGATATAGCAAAACTCGATATTATTAAGTAAAGAAGGCTAGCTTTCCAGATACTAAGATTAAGATAATAGAGGTACTTAAATCTTATTTAATTAAGACTATATAAAGATTTTATAACCGTATATTTTACTAGATAAATATATATTAAAAGGAATTAAGTATTAAACAAACTACTTAGTATATATAGAAGCAAAAATGCTATAAAACAATATCTAAAAAGGTAATAGATAAATAGAATAATATATAAAAGTAAGAAAAAAAAGGTAGCTAAGTAATAAGTAAGATTTATAAATTTAGTTCGGTCAAAAGTTAGCTTAAAACCTATATAATTAGGGCCCTACTATATATATAATATATATAATACTAGAAAAAGCTATATTTAGTATTTAGGAAGATTTACTTAAGCTTATAAGGCTTAATTATTATTATTATATTAATAATAAGGCTAGTAAGATACCGCGATCTCTCCCTAAAGTCCGGAATCACGTGTAATGGGCACACGTGATGGCGCATGGACAGGTGTCAGATGTCGTGGATCTAGTTTCCTATTTTGGGTACAGCTTGCGATCGGAATCGTATGGATCGCATGGGATTTCCTAATTAAGTAAAGGGCTTCGCATGCCTGGCTAAGCACTAGGGAATATATAGGGAGACGCTCCTAGCTTTGGAAGGGGCATCGATTAGTCTCTTGTTGGAATCAATTCTTGGAATCAGTTACACTTGCAAGCGTCACTCCGCAGCTTACTTACCTTGACTACTTGTGCATCACCCTGCTATTACGTGCCTCACATCACGTAACCTTAGCAAGCAAATATATTAGCGTTTTGTATAAGGAAAAATCAAAAAAGTAAAAAGGGTTCATATACTTTGAACCTCGATTATTAATAAACCACAAATTATATTAAAAATCTAATTAATAGATATTTTTCGCCTAGTTCTACTCTATAATCGCATTACTTAGTATTAATTAATTAGGGTTATGGTTAAAAAGTTATTATGGGCATAAAAAAGCGACCGTTTTATTACTTTTGGATTAGACTAACTATAGCCCGAGCTTCCGTATTAGTTTTCTAGCTAATGCTTTCAGGATACTACTTCGCCGCTTAATTAGCTCAAACTTGTACTAGTATTTCTAGCAAGCGCTTACCCCGTAATAACTAGCTATTTGCCCGCCCAGGCTTAGTATTAGTATTTCTAGTAAGCGGTCTTACTATAATAATTAGCTATTACTCTATATAAGTACTATAAGAAAGTATTCTTATTATAATAACTAGCTAATTAATTAGCCTAATTTCTATATTAGTATTTCTTCCACATATCTAGCTATTATATAGTTAGTACTAGTACTATATTAGTATTTCCTACTATTACTTATATTTGAAAACAGATATAACTAGTATTATAATAGGGATTTAATTATTATATGAATTTCGGACTATATATAAGTAGTATATTAAAAAAATAATTAAGGTAATTAATTATATTTAATTAAATCAAGTAAATAATTAATTATAATTTAATTATTAACTTTTTAAAAAAATTTAATTATTAGAAAGATTATAATTAAATATAATTAAATATTTCTAATTATTATATGAAACCTATATAAAAATTATATAAGTAATAAATTCTCTTCTTTTTCTTTAGATAATATATAACTAAAATATAAAGAAAATAAAGATTAATTAATTTCTAAAAAAAAGAGAAAGAAAGTAAGGTAATATATATATGAATTATTTACTCTATATATTATATAAATATACTCATGTAACTAGAGAAGTTAAAACCCTGACTATAGTACTTATTTATAAAAATAAATAAAACAAGTAAAGGCAAGATACTAGCTATTAAACCTATAATAGTAAGGTAATATCTAAATTAGAATAAAATACGCTTTACTTTTATACTATAATACTTATATTATCTTTATAGTTACGTGTAATAATACGTAACCTAGTAATTAATTATATTTAATTAAATTAAGCAAATAATTAATTATAATTTAATTA